AAACTAAAGAATAAGGTTGTGAAAGGTTCTTACTATGCTTCTCGACATGCCCAGACAACGCAAGTTAACTAAAAAAACCCTGCTAATTAACCAAAATTAATCAATCCCAAACATTTTCCAATAAGATTTATCGATGTAATCTATTTACATGGTATACTAAAACTTTATCTTTTCTTTGTTATTGAGTCGAAAAGATGTTTTTTTGTAATATTAAAAAAGGATAGGTGAATAACTTATTTCTGAGAGCTCAATTTGTATCTTTAAAAGATGTTTTTACAATAAATCAAAACACATATCACCACTGGGTTTTGCTGAGTTGTAGAAATGTGGATCACTCACTGGTATAAGGGTTTAAATTCCATCTCCAAATCCAGGAAGGGATTGAATGGGTAAAGCATTATAGATATTGACTCGAGTATTTATTCCATTCGTGACTTGGTAAGCCACAAAAAAATCATTGACTAAATGCATATACAAAAATGAAAAAATAAAAAAGATAATCGACATATACAAATTCACTACCTAGTGGACATATCTTCCAAATCGAAACAATGGATGAGAGGTAGCGGTGCTGCTGTGTCCATCCTTTTGCTCTCCAGATATCTATAACTTAAAAAATCAAAATCAACAATACAGATCATAAGAACAAAAATCGAAGCAGATTCAGAAAATGTAACCATTATGGATTTAAACTTAAATCGAAAGGTTTTATAGATTGGAACTTCGTAGTTGAAACAGACTAAAAGAAACATAATTTAAAACGTACCCAAAATCGATCTAAACTACGATCAAATTAAAGTAGAATCCAAAGAAATTTATCTCTATATCATTCCTCCTTCTTTCATGATGATCGAACACAAGACTGATCTGCACAAATCGAAGCCCACATATATTTTATTTCTTCTTTCCCCCATTTTCTTTCCCACTACAAAACTTAGGTTATATAAATTATGTAAAGAAAAAAAGGAGAGAGGGTAGGGGTACTGGAAATGAGGATGGGGCGGGACATTTTTTCATTTTATTTTTTATGAGATTCAATTGTCATTAATAAAATTCATAATTTAATTCATTTTATTTTTGGTGAGATTTAATTGTCATTAATAGAATTACTAATTTAATTCATTTTATTTTTGGTAAGATTTAATTGTCATTAATAGACTTCCTAATTTAAAACATAATATATGTTTTATAAAAATTATGGACAAAAATAAAGGGGTTGATAAAGATGATGTCAGCAAACAATCCAATGGTAGAAAATATAGAATTGAAATGCAATCAATGGCCCTGATTTCTTCAATTTAGAATTAAATTTTCTCTTTTAATAATATTTAGAGATTTGTAGTTCATGTAAAGGACAATTTACGATGAGCTTCCAAGATCTTTTACTTTGTTTCTTGCAATAAATGTTTTTGATCATTGAATAACGCATAAATTAAATACATCCATTTTAAAAGTAAAGAATATGTTTTTACTCTTTAGTTTAAAACCCCCAAAATAATATCATATCTAAGAAGACCAAAACTTTGCCACGTGCATTTGGGATGTGGTTCAAATTAAAACTTGAACTTTTGTTAACAAGAATTTTTAACCACGTAAACACGTTTAGTTATAGTCTTGATATCACATGTGTAGGCCAAAAACTGCCAAATTATAACTAACAAACAACAATGACAAGGATTGCATACATTACGTTAAGAATTAATTCCTTTATGCACTTTCAAAACTCAACAGAATGCATGAAAATTGTATCTCATGTACATTGTAAATATATTAAAACATTAATAACTACAACTTTAGTGTAAAAAAATGTTAGGACTCTACTCTTTTACTGTAATTCGGGTTATAACTTGCGTATTTCAAGAATTATAAACCAAAAAAAATTAAAACAACTGGAAAAACAAAGTCGTGGATCCATCCCCATATGAACGTATTTCTGCTGGTTTCACCACAGCTCTGCATAAAGGGCATGTTCTTTCTCTATCAAACCTGAGAAAAATAACAGTAATTCAAATTAGTCAAATACCTAAAATACCCCTGATAACCGTATTTGAGAGGGAATTAATTATTAATCTAACCATTCTGAAACACAATCTTCACAGAAAATGTGTTTACAACGTAATAAAACTGGAGCTTGCATCTTTTCCTGACAAATAGCACACATGTCCCCTGCTTCAATTACCTGAAAAACAAGATTAATATAAGTATTTGAATACTGATGAAATGACTAAAATAACCCTGAGCAAATTGCGACATTATACCTGGTCTGGTGTCGCGTAGGATCCATAATGGACTTCTTTTCTTGACAACGCCTTCAATGCAGTCCAGAAGGATCCAACCTGTGAGCAAGAGTGTGTACACTAGTTAACTCCTGATTAATATAAATTTAAAAGAAAAAAAAAAGGATAAATGCAAGAAATAACAATATTGATGATACCTTCTCAACTATTGATGTAAGCTTGAAAGTTAGATATAAGCCTGTTGTCAAAGAGGAAAAGAGGCTTCCATATTCTTTGTTTAAAAAGAATCGATACCAAACTGGAGCAGGTAAAAATGCACGGTATAACAGCAGTGCATACTCAATCACAGTCAGCATTTGACCCTATAATATCAAATTTCACTAAAGTTATAAAAAATTGAGGAATAATTTGTTGTGTATGTATTCTTTCTTTTTGGTGATTAATGTCACATTACCTGTCTACGAAAGTTATGACCCTTGCCATTTTTATAGTACATAAGCAATACAAGCTTAAAAGCCATTGCTGTCTGCCTCACCATTGTATCTGTACACAATAGATAAAACTTGTTAAAAAAAAATGTAATACTTTCTTTAATAACGTGTGAAATTTATATATATATAAAAAGAAATTTCATACCATTCACAAGGATGGTGAATATAGCATGCCAGAATGGTGGAATTGCTCTTGGTGGAACCATGAACAACGGATAACAAAGATCATCGTTTTGGTACCACCAGTATACTCCAATTACATGAAGGATAAAAACTATAAAATAACCACCAAGAACAGAGAGTCTTCTCTCCCCCTGCAAAATTTGTTGATTGTTAAGATTTAAGAGAAGATGATTAAGTGTGTTTAGAGTTACAAAGGTGATTTAAGAAGAAGATTATATAGTAGAAGTGGGATTGGGATTGGACCTTTAAAGCTGTCTGCTTTCGAAGAATATCATTAGACTTGTACATGAAAGCAGTTACATAGACTGTGACAAAGAAACCTACAGATATAGATGAAGTAAAGCAATTACTACAAGAAATTCCATTTGAAATGGTTTGAAAGGAGAAAAAGGTCAAATCTTGAGTACCTTGCAAATGCTGACGAATGAACACGATCAACAATAGCAAAGAAAATGGAAGAATCTGTTCAATCCACCTCGAAACCTGTTGCATATCATACCGCTGTTGATAAGATGAATCACTATGACTCCCACTCCTGCCATTTTCACCATCTACGTCGGTGGAATCAGCCATCTCTCTCTCTCCTCCATCATTATCGCCGCCATTCAAGGCCACCGGTTCTCCACCCTCCCCACCATGTTGTTCTTCTGGATCTACCGCACCGATTATCCGTATAGAAACCTCCCCATTATCGCCATTACTGCTCGTAGCCGTATCTGAATCACTCGAACTACGGGCATCATGATGATGATGATGATCATGAATCAAACTCTCCGATTCATGGTAATCGTTGTTTGACCTAGGTCGAAGAACACCAGAATATTCAAGTACAGTAGTTACAGGCGCTTGTAGAAATCGAATTACAGAAAACGAAGAAGACGGCAACATCCTCCTGGAAGAACTACTACGACTCGTAATCCTCGGTGTTAAAGAGTTTGATGAAGCTAAATTATCAGTCTCATACGCATCAGAATTGGTGGTATCAACGCTCAAACCTGTTGTTTCCATTAAAATTGGTGTAGAAAACACCTTTAATCCAGAAAAATCTCTGAAACCCTTGAAATGTTATGAAATTGAGAGAGAAAAACAGAAGGAAAATAAAGTCAAAGCAATGAGAGATAATGAAAGATTAGGTAGCGATATAGACGTTTGTGTGTGTATGAATGTGTGTATATGATATGCGTATATTGAATCAGTGATTCGAAGATTGTGGTGATGAGAATTTGGGGATGAATTATAGGGTTTGCGTAGTTGAAGGATTCAATTCAAATTTGGGATAGGCAATGAAAACACAATAAAGAATTGAATTGAATATGAAGAAGCGTGTAATGGCTGCAAAGTGGAGAAGATTGAAAGAAATTATTATAAAAGAAAATGGAAAACGGAAAATGGGGTGGATCTAGAACAAGTAGTCCAGTGGGGGCCGTGTCTCCAAGGGCGAATGCTAAACGACCAACCATGCCTTCCAAATTTATTTTTGGCAGAATTTCGTATATGCCCTTGCTAAACAACTAAATATCATATTTACTGAGCCTAAACTCTAAATATCGTATTTGTCATTTTTAATGTATTTTAATATCATATATACCCAAATCTATTTTTTTGTTAAATTTTATTGATTTATAATTGTTTTT